ACGTGTCTTTTGGGAGTAACAACGTGTCTTTTGGGAGTAACAACTTTGCAGCCGCACCTAAACGCGTGCGGGTGTGCTTGTGTTTTGAGTCTAGAGGAGCGCAGACCTTCCAGTCAGGCGGTAGAACTAGTTACATGTGTGCTAGGCTTATCCCCGTTCTGCTGGCATACCGTACGTTGCAAACGTAAGATACGTACCACACCCCCTGGACTGATTTTCAAAGCTCGATGGCTCTGCAGCAATACCAGTAACGGTGCTGAGAATGATCGCGTTTGAACCTCAACCCTCTTGTCGATAGTATAGTACTACGAAAGCGTATCATGGACGTTGGCATGCGCTTGTTTTTGTGGGGAGGAATGGAGCTTTCAAGATGAGTCCACAGGGCGCGGTATCGTGTGCAACCTGTAATACGGCAGGTTTTTATCACAATCGGCCCACAGGAGTGCACCCACCCACAAGCACATTGATTTTGTGAGGAGGAATGCTTGAGAAGGAGCACATTTGTCTATGCTACGACTGTATATCTGTATATACGCTGCTCCCATTGGCACAGGGGTGCACTATTATCGATGTAAGGGCAACGAGACGGTACTTGGCTCCCAGCAGAGCAAACCAATCGATCAGAGTATTAACGACAAGTTTGAAAATCCCGTGCGTGAGTACACACAACACATTGCAAAGCTGCGACAACTTCTGTACCTCTGGCACGCCGACACCTGCTCCACCAATCAGCTCGTGTTAGAGAGAATGAGTAGCACAGCAGTTACAACATCACGGCGTCTAGTCTATGTAACGCGGAGGTTGGATATGATTAGTGGGCGCTCTGGGGTGACAAGAGGCTTGAACCTCCTGCTTGGTTCTACATACTTCGAAGTACGCTGAAGCAGATAACACAGGTTGCCTTGATGTTCTGTTGCACTTGAGAAGGGGATGCGCGGTCCGCTGCTGTTGTAACATGTCAAAGTCTTTTGCCGCTCGCCCAAGCTAGCACGGGGATGACTGAGAGTATCTACCCACTCCATCAAGAACCCGGAAGACGGTTATACCCGCGAGTGCATGCTCGACGCGTGCAGCTGTGGGTGTGTTGCGCACTTGAGGAGCGCCGCCGCCGCAATGCGGTCCACGGCTGTACCAGTCTTGTTGTCCTCCATTCCTCCATGCAAGCACGGAGGGTTGAGAACACCCGTTTCGCGAAGATTGTAGCGGAAGACGACTAAGCTTGTATTAACGTTGTCACAGTGTCGACGCATGCAGCTGGGGATATTGTCCACAGCTGCATGCGTCGACACCGCCCTCACGTTTCTACCAGTGTACTGTAGTCGTCTTGCACCGTGTTCACGAAACGGGTGCTCTCAATCCTCCGTGCTTGCATGCAGGAATGACAGACATGCTTACTGCCAGAGCAGTGGACCGCTTTGCGGCGTCGACCCTTCTCAAGTGCGGCTGACCGTCGAAATACTGTAGACGATACCACTGTTTGCTCAACGCTAAGTTTAGTGCGTCGTTTTTTCTGCTCCCCTGCTGGTTCTGTGTTTTGAGTTTTCACGTGTGCTTGGCCTCCGCCTAAATCGCGACTGCTTGGAAGTCATTTGGCAGCGCATGTGTACTCACATGATGGGCCAAGTTTGCGGGAAAGGGCGACACGCTTATCATGCGACGAGTGTTTAATCACGTTTTGCAGGGTAGGTGTTTACCCTGGATGCCCAGTGCGTACTTGTTGGTTGCGTGTTGTAGGTACACGATGTGATATTCAGAATGGATGCCTACCAGCACACAAGTAAATAATTCAACCGCACCCGAACAAAGAACACTCTCAGCAGGTACAGTATGCATCAAACGCAGGCGAAAAACAAGAAAAGTACGCTAGTGATAAGCGGGGGTAAAACCACACCGATAGAAAACAAAAATACCAGGAGCACATGTGTACGTACCATTACGCCGGTTTTCGTGCTCCGAGATATCTTTCACTGGCGGAAGCGAGTCTTTTCTCTCACGCTTCCTTCTCAGGGGCGCGTAGGGGGATGGTCGGTACGTTACTGCTGTGCACGCCCAAGGACGGCCCGTCACCCGTGGCGATTGTGCTTGACGCCCAAAGTTGAAAAAACTGGCTCTATTCCCAGGGGACGTGTTCCGTGCGAAGAAAGCCTTTGCAAGAAATACAAAAAATGTGTTTTGCATAAACAGGAAAGGCTTTCGTTTTGATGCCTGCGCAACGCACACAAGCCCCGCAGCCAATAGGCAACACGAATACATAAGAGCGAGTGATCAAGCTCAGCGGATCATAGTAGTAGGACCTTCAAGCGAAGACCACGCTAGCCCAATAGCACACACTCACGCACATGCGAAGAGTCACGGCCAGAAAGAAAAAAAAAACGCATATGATGCAAAGTCCAGGCAGATTCTGCAATTTATACGCAAACCGGCACTCACTACAAATACCGAACGCTATAACATTGAGATACACGATGCAACCGCGATGACATAGGCGAGGTCCTCTTGCGTCGACCCCGGGAGGCAAGCCACCTATCTCCCGAAGGGGAGTCTTGTAACATTTGCACAATGCATATCCCCCCCCTCCCCCCCCCCCCCCCCCC